TCTTCTCATCAAGAGGTTTCAGATTATTTATGATACGTGGGGGGTTCAATGATTTTTGCGGCTCTAACCCAGGGTGGAGACTTTTCACCCCAAAGTCTCCACCTCGCCCATGTTAATGTATAGGCCGGAGACCGCCAGTGGAGACTTTGGGGTGAAAAGTTTCCACCCCTGGGCATGTGCCGTGAGAGGCGCGAAACCCCCACATATTATACATCATCTGAAAGCTCTTGATGAAAAGAATCTAACTCATGAGGTCGCAACATAATTCATGCAATTCTTAAGAAGTTATGAGCTGTGGAAGTTCAAAAAGCGGTTTTTCACCTGTTTTTTTAAGAGCCTGAATCTCGGCGGCTTCTTGATGGATCGGTACAACTAAGGCACAGTCCGATAGAGCAATTCTTACTCTACAAAACCTATGAAGTCGCAACGTTGCACACCTTCACATCAGATTTATAGGAGTCTGAACGTCAGACGTCAAAGCAACCTAAAATCGTTTAATTTTTTAAAATTCTCGTTCTCGGCGGCCACTGCTCACATCGACCTAATTCTTTCATTATCTCTAGAAAAACACTTGCCCTTCAAAACCTATGAAGTCGCAATTGCTGACATCTTCAACCACCAGATTTATAACAGTGGAAATTTCGCATAATTTTTTCGCTATTTTATCATTCGAAATTCTGTTTCTCGGCGGTTACTGCCTAGATCGACTTACTACATAGATATATGCTCTCAATACTTTCTTTTGCGTTCCTTTTGCTTATTTTCCTTCTTGTAAGCTTCAACAAAAAAATTTTCTCAAACCCAAGTGAAGGTGGTCACCCCGTACCAGCTCAAAAGTGAAGGTAGACGGAGACTCGGCTCCGACTATCGCACCTCTGCTTGGAAGTGACGTTGTGAACTCATGCTAGCACATATTTCCCTGATAAAACTCCAAAGTCTAAAGAGTAGTTTTGTAATAAATTTGAAGGCTTTGTTACTATTATAACTCATGTGAACGACGTATTTAGTTTATCGCAGTTCTTTGCGAGAACAGAATTCAAATTCAACGCCCAAAATTGTGCCAACTTGATTGTAAATCGAGATTGGATTAAAACAAGATTCATAAGAGCTAGACAAAACATGTTCCTATGCTTACCTGACCTTGCATAATTTGTTGGCGCGGGCAAGCAAAAATATTTAGTGAATTTGGTCCAACAGAGTTTGAATTGATCCAACTGATTTGTCGAGAATGGCCTTTTGGCAAACCCTCCGGATACAAAAATGGGACACAGAATTGTTGCGGTCATAACCAGGGTCAAGCAAGGGGTGTGGCACACGATCGCTGGTTGCGACCCCCCGCCCCTCATTGCTGTCTTAATTAGACCCCCCCCCTGAACTATATACTCAAGATAGCATTACCAGAGTTGAGAAAGAGGTCAGGCACAAATCTTTCGAAACCCCTCCCTCCCATGAAAGCCCTCAAACGACCAGTTCTTCCTCCTCTTAACCTCTGCACCTCAAAGTGTGACATTCTGGAGGACACCATCTTTTTCTAAAGAGTTTTCAGATTTCTGAGAGCTGTACACCCGATTTTCTGTGACTGCACTTTACAATCACACGTAATTTGACGGCTGATTCTGATCTATATGGGCATACTAGCTGGCTTACCCGGCTCCGCCGTATCCGGATCAAACTTGGAACACATACACTTCGGGCCCCGGCGGGTGTCACAGTCCACTTTTCGTTATCGATCGATGTCGATTTTACCGATTTTTATCGATTTTTTTGCAGAGTTCACCTACAGGGCTAGGAGTTGGCACAGGGGGGGAAGTGAGCATGGGGATTCTGAATACAATATTAGTTTTCAGAATTATCGATTACTTTTATTAATTTTATCGATTTTTTGTAAATTTTGACATGCGAGGCTGGGATTTTGCACAGGGGGGTAATCGAGCATGCTGATTACGAACACAATATTAGTTTTCAGGATCGTCCATTACTTTTATCGATTTTATCGATTTTTTTGCAAAGTTTGAGCTACGGGGCTGGGAGTTCGCACAGGGGGGTAATCGAGCATGCAGATTACGAGTACAATATTAGTTTTCAAGATCGTCCATTACTTTTATCGATTTTATCGATTTTTTGAAAATTTGCTAGGGGGCTGGAATTTGGCACAGAGGTGTAATCGAGCATGCTGATCACCCCCCTTGGGGATGATCAGCATGCTCGATTACCCCCCTGTGCCAACTCCCAGCCCCCTAGCCCAAACTTTGCAAAAAAATCGATAAAATCGATAAAAGTAATCGATAATCCCGAAAACCAATATTGTATTCGGAATCCCCATGCTCGATTACCTCCCTGTGCGAACTCCCAGCCCCGTAGCTCAAACTTTGCAAAAAAATCGATAAAATCGATAAAAGTAATCGATAATCCCGAAAACCAATATTGTATTCGGAATCCCCATGCTCGATTACCCCCCTGTGCGAACTCCCAGCCCCGTAGCCCAAACTTTGCAAAAAAATCGATAAAATCGATAAAAGTAATCGATAATCCTGAAAACCAATATTGTATTCGGAATCCCCATGCTCGATTACCCCCCCTGTGCCAACTCCCAGCCCCGTAGGTGAACTCAGCAAAAAAATCGATAAAAATCGATAAAATCGATATCGATCGATGACGAAAAGTAGCCTATGACACGCGCCGGGGCCCGAAGTGTATGTGTGCCAAGTTTGGTCCGGATCGGTTCAGAAATGGAATTTTCTATTCGGAACATAAGTACAGACATACAGACATACAGACATACAGACAGACATACAGACAAACAGACATTCAGCTTTATATATAAGATTAAAAGGGCCATAATTTTTTTATGGATGGGGCGTTCGGCTCCAAATTTCCAATGTAGCAAGAAGAAGCTATGTGCTCAATACTCATACCAGCAATGGAGCGCTTTCTGGATTTTGAAGGCAAGTTAAGGGGGGTGCGGCACACCCCCTTAAAAGCTGCGGCAGCCGCAGCTTTTCAGGGGGTGTGCCGCACCCCATTAACTATATCAAAAAAACATTTTTTGCGGACAGTATTTATATGAATCGATAGCCTGAACCTTGTAGATTCCATAGGATTGTTTGGAGCCTGATTTGTCTTCTTAGCTCTAAGTAAAATTTGTGAAAGCACAGCGATCAAAAGCGAAAAATGGGAAAAACGAGATTTTGGTTGGCTTCTAATTCCACAGTTTGCAGGTCTTCTAAAGCGGGATTCCTGAGGTGGACAAAGAAGGAGTAGTGATTTGTCTTGAATGCAAAAACGGATAGCTAATGTTGGAATTTGACCATTTCATTTAGGTAGCCTAGAATCTTGAATCTTTAGAATTCGCTCACACTTTGTCTACAGGGGTTAATTGACATGCTAATTATGGATGAAACGAATATCATGTTATCACTATTATCAGATTACCCAACTACGACCCCCTACCCTTTTGACTCCTCAATACGACCCCCAGGTGTGGCGTGCCGCACCCCACGCTTGACCCTGGTCATAACCAAGATTAAGCGCGTGGTCAGGCGTAGCCAGTCTGGTCTCGTATGGGGTGAGTAATCGAGATTCGAATTCATTCAAAAAATTAAAGAAAAACTATGATCAAGTAAGATGAAGAAGAGAAGCGCTAAACCGGAATATCACATCTTCACCAGAACTGAAGGAATGCTGTTTTGAACAGCATACTGATTGACTCCACTTATATCTTAACCAAATTTGAGTCCTCATCTCCCACTTTACATACCGTAAGATCACCAAAGAGGCTTGCGGTGTTATTGGGTATAATTTCCGTAACCATCATATCAAATTACCTCAAGAGCTCTTGAATCATCAGCTACAGTGCTGCTGCATATCTTACTCTGTTCGCCTGGAACGAATCCAAATTCCGAATCACAGTGCTTCACACTGTATCAAAACATTTTGCAGTTCCATGCACACAGAAGGGGGCTTTGGGACAATGGCGAGTACTGCGATATCGAAGTTGGTCAAAACTTGCGGCCACTTTCTGCTAAACTTCTTCGGAGATCTTGTCAGGTGCTAGCATCTGGGCTGCAGATGCATCCCTAGGCCTTGAGATATGCAGTTCAACCAGCACTCATCAAACTCTCAAAAACAAACTTTACGGAGCAAATTTTTTTTGAACGCCAAATGACCGCAAAATTTGGATAATTTATGGAGTTGCAAGGGATATTCGGACTGGGAAATTCGAATTGTTATGAACTGAAATACGATTATTTTCAACCTTTGAAGATTCGAAATTTTTGCTTATTTTGATTTCAAAACTTAACGAGCATTAAGCTTGGTGCGAACTTTCGAGCTTAATCATGGTAGAGCTTGGTTTTATCTGTCGGATGGTGTCTCGCTTCCTAGAATACAAGGAAATGACTTATGTCGGATTAGATATGAAAAGGCTTACAGGACAACCTAACAACAGTGTGCAATTCTTTTTACTAATAGCGCACTGTTACTCCTATGAAGTAGAAGGATGTGATTTGAAAAAGCGTAAAGCAAGTGAAGAAAACTTATGCGATTAGAAGATCTTGCGGAATTTTGAAACAGCGGTCATTATAGAGCCAAACCTTATCCAACTATGGACTGAAGTCAGTGGAAATAAAAGAAGACTAGGTGCTTCGCTTTCTATATTCACCAGCAGCCAAGTTCATACTTCTTTCTTCTCATAACTCCAAGTTCCACTTCATAAGTAAGTCACTGATTTTGAGGCCAGGGATAGTGCCCATATTATGGTGAGATGAAGTTGAGCAGGAGTAGCAGAGGTTCATCTAGCATTGAACCACATTTTGTTTGTGATTATGCTTGTCTGAGAAAAAAAAGAAAGCTGATACTGAGATACTAGGCTAGTTGGTAAAAGACATTTCTTTTTAAAAAATAAAACCTTCAATCCAAATCTGTTTTAGAGTTTATATAGCGGCACTTGTGAATGAACACGCTTTTTAGCCATGAAGTACGATAAACCAAACCTTTCAATGCACAAATTTATTGACACTTTGTCCAGCTTTGTAGCCATTAAGCATAATAATCAAATCCATGTGGGGTATAACTTTATTGCAAAGCTAATTTTTTGCATACGAACGATCTCATTATACTGTCGCAGGGCAAATCGTTCCATTTATGGTACGTCAAAGCGTCTCCAGTGATATCAGTGTACGACTGAAACGGAACTTATATGAAAGAACTGTATCGAGAAAGAATGTTGAAAAATAAAAAAAGAGCAAGGACAGCGATTACTCAAACGGGCTCGCACGACGCCAGAGGTTTGGCAGCTAATACGATTTTCAGAAGGCATATTGATGCTTAGTTTGAATGCGGGTAGGGCACTACATGGTGTCCCAAAAAGATGAGCCTACTGTTTGATTGTAAATAACTTTTCTGTAATGAAATGTTTCGAAAAGCTTTAGGTACTGTTTTGTAGAGCGAGGTTGAATAGATTTACAGTATGGAGCGAATTATCTATCGCTCTTTATTACTGTAGGAATACGGTGCGAACTTCCAGCATATGGAATCAATGTGAAATATACCACCGTGTGTTAGGGTTTTCGCACATGCTGATTCCACTAACAACTTTTAACGAGTGTTTTCAGCTTTTTAGACGGTGAGTTACATTTCTGACAAATGCTGGGAATTGAGTTATTACGATTTACCAGGGATTACTTCGGAAAGAAGCATCACAGTAAAATGGGAATTTCAAATTTGAAATCAGCGGCTCCCATCACCGCAGTATGAGAGTTTTTGGCTTGTTTAGTCTTGTTCCACGGCAGAATATAGCCTCCAATAGCCTAAAATCTTTGTCGAAGATCGTGCTGTAATCCTACAGTTATGAAGAGCGATAGTTGATTCGTCCCATACTGTAAATCTAATAAGGCAATGAGGATGAAGTAATGTTTGCGACAAGTGTAAATGTGCAGCAGACTACTCCAGATCCACTCGACCGATTAAAGAAGTATCCGCTAACAACGATCAAACGCATTGAAGCATATGTATTGCGATACATCAGGGTCTTGGTGGCAAGGGTAAACAACAGAAGAACTGTTCCGATAGTTTTATCAAGTTGGATAAACCCTAAGGTTATGCATGATGGGATAGAATTGAATGGCTCCGAGATTGCCGTGGCCGCTAAAGCGGTAATCAAACAACACCAAACATTGATCACTCAAGAAATGAGGCGATCAATGCATCATTTGAATATCAGGAGAGACGAAGAAGGCCTCTTTTGCTGCTACGGAAGATTGGGTAGAAGTAAGATGTCTCAGAATGCAAAACAACGGCTAATCATCCTTCAAAACACATGACTAGCCGAACCATAATACGGGAAAACCATAACAAAGGCCATGCAAGTATCAATCATACAATGTCTCTCGTAAGACAAAACTATTGGATACCAAAACTACGTGCTCAAGTGACTCGACTCATCCGTCGATGTATTGCTTGCCAAAAATTCAACAACTTGCCATCCAAGTATCCTGAGCAAAGTGACCTTCCGAAAGAGCGAGTACAACGAGCAAGGCCTTTCGAACATGTCGGACTGGACTACTTCGGGCCACTCAATGTTGCTCTTACAGACGGAAGCAAGGGAAAATGCTACGGATGCATAATCACATGCTTGGTTCCTACTCAAGTTTTCTATCCCTTCAAGTTCGAGTGCAATTTCGCTGGACGTCCATCAAGTTCTACTTATTCTCAAGTTCGCTAGAAGATCATCAAGTTCAGAATATTCTCAAGTTTTGCACTCCCGACCATACGGCGTGTGAGTGAATCTGTATATATCTGTACATATTTGGAGATTGGGAATAAACGTATTTGGAGCTTCGACTTCAACCACTACATTATAGTCCCGCGTGGCAGTTCAAGTTTAACAAGGCTTACTGAAGAGACCGAAAAAACCCAATTTCTCCACATGGTGCATCGGGCAAACGAAGAACCCAGGTCAGTCTAACGATTTCACAGCACTGACGATTCCGGTAAACTTTGAGAAAAACTCTCTTGATACACTAGCGCACGAATCTTGGTTGCAAATTTTGAACCAACTTATATTTTTTGACGGCAAGCTTCTAAAGTTTCATAAGCATAGCACCAAGCAAAATGGCGATGCGATTGGGTACGTCCAAGCGACTACTGACGCGCTACACAAAGAAGTTAGAAGCCATTATCAAGCATCTCAAAGACGAGAAGTTGGAAACGCTTACCGCTACTCCACAAGATGACGAAGTACTCAGGAACAACTTGCGCCAACTCAACGAAGGGATAGGAGCAATAAACGCATCAACGGCCAAGATAGAGCAGCTTCTGCGAGAATACGCCAAGGATATTTCAGGCCTGGAAGACGTGAGCCCAGAAGAAAAAAGTAGCTTCGAGGAATACTCCGCAAAAGCGGAGGAGGTCCTTGCAACAGCATTCGACTATGGGGTGCTGCTGCAATCTCGAAGGCAAGCGTACAGCTCCTGCGCAACACATCCAGCAAATAGCGTGACGTATTGTCCTGCAGAAGAAACGATGGCTCAAGCACAAGGTTACAGGCAAGGGAAAGAGCTTCCACCTTTGTCAATCCCAATATTTCGTGGAAATATATGGGAGTGGGACAACTTCTGGGAACTGTTCAATGCCAATATTCACTCTCAACCGTTACCAGAACTATTCAAGTTCAAGTACTTGAAAAATGCATTGCGGGGTGAAGCCTATCAAGCTATCGAGAAATTCCAGATTACTTCAGAGAATTACACCAGAGCAATCGAATTCTTGTTCCACAAATATGGAGATAAGCAAGTACTTATCACACGACTACTCGATAAACTTGAGAAGGCATCACTGAAATCACCCTCACTGAGGGATCAACGCGCTCTTTTTGAAGAGTTGCAAGTCATTGCAGCACAGCTTGCTCAAAAGGGGGAGCAGGTGGATAGCCAATGGTGCATCAGACAAATGCTCTCAAAGTTCCCATTAGCTGTCCAGAGAAAAGTACTGCTAAAGAGGAACGCTTTCTCTTCAGAAGACGCGTCTCGCATGGACCCGTTGTTGAAAAGCTTCGAGGAAGTGATATCAGACGAAGAAATGGTATCACTTTACATGGAGAGAAGAGACAAAGATGAGAAAGCAAGACTCCAGTCCATAAGGAAAGACCCTACAAGGCAACAGAACAGGTCCTGCATGTATTGCGGAAAAGACCACAAGTCGTTCGATTGCACCAAATACAAAACACCACAAGAAAGATCAAAATACCTTCGTGAACGAAAACTTTGTCTCATTTGTGCATCAGCACAACACCAAACTTCACAGTGCAAGAAGCGTTTGTGCTTCAAATGCCAGGGGGCGCATCACACGTCGTGCTGCTTCAAGGCCACAACAACCCAACAAGGGAAAATCTGGTCTAACAATAAACAGCCGAAAGAAGAGCCTAAAAGAACAAAACCTCAGCGAGAGGTTAACGTAGTGGGTTCAGAAGGAGCAAGAGAAACCGCTATACTTCAAGTCAACTCAGCATTCCAGAAGTTGGAAGAAACATTTCTTCCCACAGGTGAACTAACAGTCCTGGACCCAAAAACCAACGCCTTGAGAAAAATAGTGGTGCTGTTGGACACAGGAGCCGAAATCTCATTTATAGACAGAGCCCTTGCTGAAGAACTGTAACTTCCAATAACAGGAAAGACCAAGTTGCATCTTCACACTTTCGGTTTCAACGAAGTATCTGTGAAGGACTGCCGACAAGTGAAACTGAATGTTTGGGATGATGAAGGACAACAATGCTCACTGAGTCTTCTCACGCATGATATTCTGACGAAGGCGTGCACAATACCAGGACTTCAAGATGAGGACATCCAGTTTATCAAACGACGAAGCTTAGTTGTCAACCATCCCAAACAGTCGGTGAAACCAGAGATTCTTCTGGGTGCTGACCAGCTTTGGCCATTTATACGGGCTAACACAAGCCACATTCGCCTTCCTTCAGGATTGTACCTGCTGTCAACAAGGATGGGATTTCTGCTCACAGGACAGCCAAAAGGGCCATCAACGATAAAGACAAAACTAGAGCAGGAAGAGGACAGATGGAATGGATACTGGAGCTTAGAAGCCCAGGTAAACACGGTCGAGACAGTGATAGAGGAGAAAAAACAAAATGAACAAGACCTTTGGGAACAATTTTGGGAACTGGATGCAGCCGGAACAGAAGAATTCGGAAAGGCGGAAAAAACACAGCAGGCAATTGTTGATCAGCAAGTGTGGGAGGACTTCAAAAGAACGGTAGAAAAGCGGCAGGACGCTTACTATGTGCGACTGCCGTGGAAAGACTTCCAGGTAGACTTACCAGATAACAAGGCAATCGCATATAGGAGACTGACAAGCTTGTGGAACTCGCTGCAGAAAGATGAAAAACTACTAGACCAGTACAACGAAGTTTTCCAAGAACAGCTTTGTTTGAATATACTGGAGAAAGTTAAAGGGGAATCACAGTCATGGGCTCGAATCCACTACATTCCACATCAGGCTGTGATAACGCCTCACAAGTCAACGACCAAACTACGTGTCGTATACGACGCATCAGCACACTACAAAGGATCCCCTTCATTGAATGATGTTCTTCGTCGAGGACCAGTAATCCTACCGCTTCTCTACGGAATTCTGTTACGATTTCGAGTTGGACGGATCGCAGTGATATCTAACGTAGAAAAGGCATTTCTGCAAGTGCGACTTCACGAAGAAGATCGCGACGCCACAAGGTGTCTTTGGTTGAAGAACCACAGGCAAGCACCAAGTCCAAATAACGTCCAAACTCTTCGCTTCACTCGAGTAACCTTTGGGCTTATGCTTTCTCCATTCCCTTTAGCGGCAACAACACACTATCACCTAGATCAATATAAGGATACCAAGTTGGTGAAGGAAATGAAAGACAATTTATATGTAGACAATCTCATTTTGTGCACAGACCAAACGAAGGAGGCGATCCAGTTATACCGCACCACTAAAGGGATGTTTCAAGATTTGAAAACAAATCTACGGGAGTTTGTCTCTAACGATAAGGAAACAATGCAAGTAATTGCTTGCAAGGACAGGTCTCTAGAACTAGCACCAAAAGTGTTAGGGATAAAATGGGATTCAGTAAAAGTATGCAAAGTAAGTATGCATGCAATTACTTACCGGATGAAAAAAGGCACCAACACTACGAAACGTACTGTCGCAAGCATCATAGCTTCCTTCTACGATCCAATGGGTTATCTGACACCATTGCACCACAAAGCAAAAGTCTTTCTTCGCTCTCTGTGGCAACAGAGTTTTGACTGGGATACCAGTGTGCCCAAAAACCTGACTGACGAATGGGAACGAATTACCCAAGACGCAGATGGATTTGAGAAGTCAATTTCTCGGTGCTTATGTCCAAAAGAGACCGAGCATGAAATAATCGCATTTGCGGACGCAAGTTCAGAGGCAATCTCGACATGCATTTATCTGCCCACAAAAGGGAGTAGGAAAGATGATAACAAGCAGACTGAAGGAGATCAACAAAATCGTGAACAACATAGAGGAATCAGGATGTCAAGTATGGTTTGCTCACGTAGCCTCATCACAGAACCCGGCAGACTGTGCCACTCGAGGCTTATCCAAAACGGAATTTCTCAACCACTTTTGGTGGACTGGACCGTCATTTCTGCACGTGAATCCAAAAGAGTGGAAAAGCATTACGCTCTTCCAGCAAAAAACATCGGGTGAAGATGAGGATGAAGTAATGTTTGCGACAAGTGTAAATGTACAGCAGACTACTCCAGATCCACTCGACCGATTAAAGAAGTATCCGCTAACAACGATCAAACGCATTGAAGCATATGTATTGCGATACATCAGGGTCTTGGTGGCAAGGGTAAACAACAGAAGAACTGTTCCGATAGTTTTATCAAGTTGGATAAACCCTAAGGTTATGCATGATGGGATAGAATTGAATGGCTCCGAGATTGCCGTGGCCGCTAAAGCGGTAATCAAACAACACCAAACATTGATCACTCAAGAAATGAGGCGATCAATGCATCATTTGAATATCAGGAGAGACGAAGAAGGCCTCTTTTGCTGCTACGGAAGATTGGGTAGAAGTAAGATGTCTCAGAATGCAAAACAACCGCTAATCATCCTTCAAAACACATGACTAGCCGAACCATAATACGGGAAAACCATAACAAAGGCCATGCAAGTATCAATCATACAATGTCTCTCGTAAGACAAAACTATTGGATACCAAAACTACGTGCTCAAGTGACTCGACTCATCCGTCGATGTATTGCTTGCCAAAAATTCAACAACTTGCCATCCAAGTATCCTGAGCAAAGTGACCTTCCGAAAGAGCGAGTACAACGAGCAAGGCCTTTCGAACATGTTGGACTGGACTACTTCGGGCCACTCAATGTTGCTCTTACAGACGGAAGCAAGGGAAAATGCTTTCGTTGGACGTCCATCAAGTCCTACTTATTCTCAAGTTCGCTAGAAGATCATCAAGTTCAGCATATTCTCAAGTTTTGCACTCCCGACCATACGGCGTGTGAGTGAACCTGTATATATCTGTACATGTTTGGAGATTGGGAATAAACGTATTTGGAGCTTCGACTTCAACCACTACATTACAGTCCCGCGTGGCAGTTCAAGTTTAACAAGGCTTACTGAAGAGACCGAAAAACCCAATTTCTCCACAGGCAAGGATATTTGGTGACCGTGGCCTTTTCCAGTGATATGTATGTCAGTAGATGCGCCTTGAAACGCTGATTCCAAATCTAGTCCATTATCTGCTGTGCGTTTTTCTGAACGAAATTACGGACTTTTCTCTACATTGATTTTAGATTTACGCATTCAGAATCGTCAGTATCGAGGCTTTTTGGACTCCGGTGTATCGAAACAGTTTTTCTGAGCTTAACGTGAAGCTTTGCTTTATTTGGACGCTCTTTTATGGTGCGTAAGCGAACATCTAATGATATTGGTGAATCCTGCGTCAAAAAAGTGCAAGTTGTATCAAGAAATGCTTATAACTTCTTTCGGGAGAAGGCACAGCAGATATCGAAAGCAGATTTGGAATCAGCGCTTCAAGATGCATTTAACGGTGTACGTTTCATTACAAAAGGTCAAGGTCACCAAGTATCCTTCCCCTGTAAGTTTGACCTCGCTCTACAGAACGGTACCTAAAGCTTCTCGAAGCACTTTATTACAAGAGAATTATTTACAATCAGACGCTTTTTGGGACACCTGTACATGTCGCCGATAGGCCCCACCCTCTGAGGACAGCCGACACGAATCAGCTAAGTCTGTGAAGTGCGGAGCTGCGTACTTTGCCGCAGATGCCCACGCAGGAACAGCCACTTTCGGCGACATATAGTCCTCAACCCATTGAATGCTGAAAAGCTAATCAGGTAAGAGTTGACACTTTGCAGTAAATTCCAATGTATGCCAACACAAGCTCTGCTATGCATTCTCGACTGAAAAATATTTCATTCACTCTATTTTTTGTCGGACCATTTTCAAAAAAAGCGCAACTTCTTTGTTTCACAATAATCATGCACGGCAAAAATGCCAATGGGTACGATGAAGCATACACTTCTCAGTGGCGTCTTGACTGCTCTCCAGTGAGCTTCCGTCGCAGAAATTAAAATGGAAAATTAAATTTTTTTGAGGTTTGAAGCAGTCCCGTTAAAAATTCAGGAACTGTGCAATCAAATACAGAAACAGCCATTGCCATAGGTTTTTTGATCTCCTCTTTCTATAAGCTAAGTTTGTGCTAAACGAGGTCTTCTTCAGAAAGTTATGATTTCTGCGGGAAAATGCCAAAAAACAATCTCTCAGAAAAATGATTTTTTGACATTTTTTTTTCGCAAAAATCATAACCTTTCAAAAAAGGGCTCGATCAGCAGAAACTTTGCTCGTATAAAAAGAGAAGATCAGAAAACCTGTGGTAATGGTTGTATTGGATTTCAGTTCACAGTTTCTGGATTTCTAACGGGCCTGCCTCAAATCGCCGAGAAAGTGTATGCTTCTCTCTATCCATATGTATTTTTGTCGTGCACGATTATTGTGAAACAAAGAAGTTACGATTTTTTTCAAAATGGTGCGACAGAACTTTCGGATCAAGTATATAGCTGGCTCCAATTCAAATTATCAAAAAAAAAGCGCCAATCTACAAATCGCTATATTTATTTGTAAAAAAATACCTCCACACAGCGTTCATTCCTGTTCATGTTATTCGGTTCAGTAGGAGCCCATGCTAGAAAGCCAACTTCTGTACCGTCAGTCCAAAGCCACTTCTCGCTATTCAAATAATCAGCTCGTCTTAATCCTATCCAAGTCCCTTTATTACTATCATCAATCTTCAAACCTGACATTGCCAGGTCTGAATCAGGCACATTATGTTCTTTCTTAATGTCAATGAAATAAAACTGATTCACCTGCTACGAAGTGATTTTCATCAGCGTTGTGGATTGAAGTCAAATGCGCTCCAACATTTCTACAAATGCTCTCGGCTTCGTAGAAAGGTTTCCAGAAGAAAGTCTGTAGAATGAATTTATGAACATGAACACTTTTGACCCTCGTTTCAATAACTGTAAAGGAGTCTTAAGACTCTGCACGAATTGGTCGTTCTAAAATACTTTTGCTTTCTTTGAAGGAATGTTATATCTCGCAAAGAATTGTCATGCAAGGCGACCAGCAAACTTTTAGAGAATCGTGAAAATTTGCAACCCACTTACCGTGGCCTTCACCGTGGACAATTTTGCAATTTCTCTCTATTTTTACACGTGCTCCGCATAAAGACGCCCAGACAGCTGATAGAGTAAACAACACAAGGCAATAAACCATTATTATTTCAATTTATCTTCTCATAATTATCTTATTCCATCATTCATGCATCTTATTTCAAAAATTTTTTCATTAGTTCTCAGTTTTGAAGAAACAATTTTTTTCTTTCAAAAGTACTGGCATTCTGCAGTAAGTGAGTAAAAGATAACAGCACTTTAATCCTTGAACTTCCTAATTTTGCAGTTTTGAGGCTCTCCCTTCTATTATTGTCGCATTCCAATTGTGCGATTTTATCGAGCTTCACGCACTTTTGAGTTTGAGATGTGTGATATCATGAGCTGATTTAGCAAAAAACAGGTTTTCTTGCGGGAAAAAAGTCTCAAAAAGCGAAAACGGTTAGCATTCATTTTGTAAATTTTTTTGCTTTCTGGATTTTAGTAGAGACATTGACTTGCTGACATACTTAACATATGGAAGTTTTAACTTTTTCCGTTTATTGAACCCTTGATGGTGGTGCCAGACTTCAAAAGAATTCGAAAGACTGTTGAGAGTTACTATAAATGGATCTGTAGATGAGATTTTCTAGACTATGCAGTCAACTGGTAAGAACGAGATTTTCTGATAGCTGCATTCTCTGAGAAATTTGAATGTACGATAATTGAAAGGACAGCCAAGCATTTGTTAAGGCTGCTTTTTTCATGGAAATGGAAGATTGTTTTAAAAAGTTCAAGTCTAGAGAACTAAGAGCTAATAATCTGCAATGTCCTAGGAAGTATTACATTTCTACCGTATAGACATGCAACTCAGACGTACATTGAAAGCTAATTTCAAATGGGACTGCATAAAAGCCACCTTCGCGACAGCTGCAATGCAAAAAAAATTCCAAAAATAAATCCCCACAAATAATGGGATTCGTAGTTTTGTTGCTCATAATTTTGAAGAGCAAACATTGGTTTGGACTTTTAACTATGGCTAAAGATGACTCAGCCAAGACTAAGGCTGCGTTCATACTGATCCCGAAGTCCGGGAACAGTTCCAGCACAGCGTCCAGTTCGAGCGCTGTGCTGGAACTGTTCCCAGAGTTTCAGATCGTATGAACGCAGCCTAAGGGGCAATATTGTGACCAATAGTTTGAAACAAGCATTAGAAGCATGACCATAAACAGAAAGCCAATCTAGAAGAAGGGTGTTTGTTTGGAATGTAATGCTGGTCTTGTACGCTGTAACCTTGTAAGATGTAAAGCAAAGTAATACGATGACGACCTGAGGACCTTTACCACAAAATATGCATCTTTGCCCACATTGGTGCTAACCATATGTAAGGAACATATCACATATCTTAACACGTTGACGACGAGCCATTTTTTGCGGTCTGTCCCTGTGGACGAGACGTTTCCATGCATCCCTACGCGTGGTCCATGTGTGTATGCATGCATCCATGCACAAAGTACAAAATGTGCAAGCCCCGCCCCCTCTGGCAAGCTCCGCCCACTCGACCAAAATGTCGGAAATTGCCCAAATTTGAAGAATTTATGCGATTTCCGCCACTTTTGAAAAGTGGGCGGAGCTTGCCACTCAGGGGGCGGAGCTTGCCTGACGGTGGGCGGGTCCTGGCTAGAAGTTGCTTGAAGTCTTTGCGTTCATCTACAGTCTCATCCATGCTTTTTGTGGACAAAAAGGATCCTTGTGAGAGGCATAAAAGTGGGCGGAGTTTGCCAAAAGGGGCGGGGCTAATACATGAAGTACATCTGAGCCTATGTTGATTTTATGAACAGAAACTGAGAGGATTGGACAGATAGTATTGAATTTAAGGCCGCCGCGCACCATTGCGCGGCGTCGTCCACAGGGACAGACTGCCTGTCGCGCACCATTGCGCGGCACTGTCGTCAATGTGTTAAAGAAGTAAGTGGTCACCCGCATTTCTGCCGATTTTTTAAGCTTTCCAAGCATTGTCTCAATAATCACCTTTTTTCAGCTCCTTGGAGCCCATAAAAATATTTTAGGGGGGGGGGGAGGGGTATGAAAGTTCGTGCGTTTTGAGACCTATCCTCAATTCATCAAAATAAAGATGGATAAACACTAGGTAGTCTAGGCAGACTTTCGTTGATTTCTTCGATTCGCTTGAAAAATTGTCAGAAATTTGAACCCACGATTTTTACCTACCCTAACTTTTGCTTTCTGGGCTTTTTGAAATGCTCTATTTATATTTAGGAAGAGTAAGCAAGATGCAATGTGATATAATTTCTTTGGCATCGATAGCTGGCTTTTTTAAATTTTCAAAATTATCACTTTGATGCAACTAAATTTGCTATATGTTTATCCCAAATCTCGTGGAATATCAGAAGGCAAACAGCTAGAGTGTCATTCGATGCAGCTTCTTCTCCACTTTTTGAAAAAGACTTTTTCTTTCTACTTTGTAAAGATTTCGAAAAAATGCCACAATTCTTTTGATCCGTCTCAGGCTGCATCAAAGTTTCAAAAAGAATATTTCGGAGCGGTAGAAACTCGTTTGTTCTAATCAGTGTTTTATCATAATCGATTCTTGGAAGTTCCAATCTGCGAAGATTTCATAGTGTTTGAAGTGTTTGTATATTCTACGACTTCGCAAATGTGACTTTTTGCAAACATCTAATATTTGTTGATGATTAAAAATTGGGTTTTTAGCATTTCGTTTACTCGATTCAACTGTTTTCAAATGTCCAAAAGGAAATATCAGAGAAAACAGCTAAACTTAGGGTACGTAAAATGCACGGGGTGGAGATTATGGCGATTATTTGAAAAAACATCAGACAAGGGAATAATCCAAACAAAAACGTCACTGCTGAAAAGAGAAAGAAATTCTGCGTAGAACAGTGCTCAGAGTGTTTGGTTTTGAATGATTGAGGATAAAAAACGGCACGAGCTTTTGGACTCACCTAATAATGGTATAAATGCCAACTTCTTTGAAAATCTTCACCACACAGTCAAGAAAAGCAAAACTACCTTTGAACGACCTAATGCCATGTATTTATCGTCCTATTTGATAAAGGATTCAAGTCTACTACAAGTTGAAAGTTTGCAAGGACTTCTTCAAAGCTGCACTCTCCTTTCAGCAGACTTAAAGCATGATTTTGAAGGCAATTATATGGGACAAAAGCCGTGCGCAGTTTGTAAAGAAGAAAAGAAATAATAGAATAACAAAATAATAATCAGAATAATCACTTTGAATGGATAGTGCCTTTACTTGATGCCGGTAATAACAGCGTTTGAAAGTCTTATAATGCTGCAATGATTGTGTTGTCGAGTACTCTTCTTTAGAATATGAAAGATGGATGTCTAGAGTGACATACCACTACTGAGAAGACTGACCAGAACACAAGCGCTGTTTGAAATTGATTTCCACTTCAAGGTAGTTGAACTAAACAGACGCAATGCTAGGATTTACCCAAAATTGGATGAATGCAGCGTCCAGGTAAAAATTTACTTCGAAAATTTTTTCTCAACCAGGGCTTATGTGTTTCTCTGGTTCCAACTAAGCTATTCGAAGCAGTTTTCTCCAAACGCAAAGCTCGCCAAGGTTGAGAGGCAGAATTGTTGTGAGACCCTTTGATCAGATATGTGCGTTGTTGAAATTACCGGACGGTCGGATCGCGGCAGAAGGGGTCCGGATCGCTTGGAGAGAAATTTCTCTTCTTTTTTGCCATAAACTTCAGTAGTTGCTCGAGCAGAGGTCGGTTATTACACACCGTCATTAAAATCCAAAAAATATTCTAAATGATGCGTGATTGCTATAATTGCTGCGCTTTTTTTGAAGCAATTACGTCTATCAATAAATTTCGACTTCAGCCGTGATTACTATGGTTAACGACTAGAAGTGCACATGGATGCTACAGATTTGATATCACAAAATTGCGCACCTTATAACAAGCATCCGTTTTGTCAAAGTAGGTCCAACCACTCTCACATCGTCCAGGACAAGCTGAAAGAAAATCTCGATGATTGACATGCAAGCTTTCATAATCGGAGCTCTTGAACTGTTATGTTTGGTTGATGAATATGTTCAAAAGCAACGACACAATGCTGAATAATGGGCAACGCTGATGAACGCTATCACAAGATGGCCACAATACTTTTCGAAGAGAAGGTTAAAACCATTTTGATTTGAAGGATACTTGGCAAAGTTTTCCTTGCTGCTTCACATATTTTAGGACTTCAACTTTGAATGAAGAGTGTGCAGCGCCTTCTTTCTTCATTCTCTTGATCGCTAGAGATCGAAAGATAATGAAAGTGAATCAGTTGAAGTCAGAGCTTATGATGATGAAATTATGTGTGGTTCTCTTTGCAGAAACTTCTTAAATTTTCGAAATCAAATCCATCATAGATTCTGAAATTTACAATTTTTTCTGCCATGGAACATGCTTACGAAAGCTTACGATCTTTTTTGCAGAAGTGATTTCGACTGAGCAAAGCGCACGGTATGATTCATGCATCTATGTACCACCCCCCCCCCCGCCTCTCCACCATTAAAGTGCACGAGCAGTCAACAACTCCAAGAATACCCCCCCCCCCCTCCTCCGCTAAAACCCTTATGGCTGATGACGTCAAAGGTTTTCTAAGAAAATGCGAGAAATCGCTTTGCATAATATGTCAACAAGTCACTATTGATTGAATGTTGACACTACAGATTTATTTACGAGCGTCATGTCACGGAGGTCAAAAAAATGCACAGTACAATCGAGTAGATTTTCCGCTTAAAATAGTGTGCTTGCACAGAAGGTGAAATATGGTGAAATTTGCTCGTGAAGAAATAGTTAGGCCAGTATTGCCGGCATTTGGCGCGCGCAGTTGGCCAGCGTCACAGTCGAAGCTATTTGTTGACGCGCAAATTTTACCGCATTTCACCTTCTGTGCAAGCACACCATATTAAGCGGAAAATCTACTCGACTGTACGTTATTCTAGGCTTCCTGTTATGCAAGTTTCCAGCCATCCTAAGCACTAAAGCTACCGCACTCGACACACATAAATGAAAATGTTGAACATTTAGTGAAAAAAGGCCGATTAATGAAGTGTGATGCGCAGCACACGTTTTTATTCACACATCGGCAATCTAAAAGTGAAGTTGTGCGCTGGAAAGAGATACAAAAGGAGCAACTTTTGAAGCAGCACAACATAATAGATTGGCACAGAAAGTTGTGTGGCACCATCTTCGAACATATATCTTCTTGCCTACTTATCCGATTTGCTTGCCTTCATTTTTGTTTAAGAAAGAAAATCATGTGCTGTATAAATGTTTCTAATGGTTTTCTAATTAGCACAAGTTCCAAGTCTTTTGCTTACAAGGGAATGGTCAGAAGTCGAAGTGGCCAATCCACACAAGCTGCATACCATTAGATGCAGTACAGAACGCTGACTCTAAATCTGTCTTCCTTATCTGCAGAGCGCTTTTGTAGACGAAATTATAAGCCGTTGAAGGCCATAATTTTGCTAAAAAATTGTGCGTATAAAGTGCAAAGTCGGCCGTACAAAGCCATTCTCGGCTCAGTGTCGGACCAAAACATGCAACTAGGTCAGTTCATATACCCGTACCTAGAGGTGAGCTGAACAATAATGTGCCTAATTTCGTAATTTTTGTATACGGTTTTTTCGCAGTAAAGCTGCTCATAACTTCGCCTACAAAGGCGCTCTGCAGATATGGAAGACAGATTTTTTTATGCTGCATCGAAGGTTATGCCGCTTTTATGGATTGGCCACTTCGACTTCTGACCATTCCCTGGTTAGCTTCAAGTACCATCCGGTGGAGCCAGGCTTCAACTTGGATTTACTGTATGGCGCGAAAGTTCCACCGCTCTTCATTACTATGAGATTACGGTAGGAAAACTATGAGGAGGGTTCTGAGCAATCATTGGCAACATATTGCTCCATACTCAGCCAGTATCTGTTCTGGAGCATATGACAGAAACAGACAATTTCCAAACCTGCACACATGCTTACCCCCTGTATACCAAAACACGGTTCTCTAGCTCAAAATTTGCAATAATCGGTGATATCGATGCAGGCAGTACTTTAATCGTAGTCAACATACTCGCTCGCTCCTGTGCATCAACTCACTGTTCCCTAACTTTGCTTCAATCGTAGTCACCTTATTCATAATGTCTAACAACTTCAGTTAGCTCCTAGCTCGCAAATACGATAGAAACTTTACATTCAGGTCACCAGCAATATATTATATTGAGCACACAGAGTGGAATAGAACGCAACAGCTTAAGCTGCGCGAAGTCATGTTGAACACGAGAGGAGCTAACGGTTTAGGATGGAAGTAAAGAGATTAGAGCTACGGTTAGCATCCAAAACTAATCAAGGGAAGCCTTGGCGGCGTTGGGAAGCGACGAGCTCAGGTACCTATTAGTAAAATGGTTTCGATTAGAATCAAAACTCAGCTTTTAGGACCAACACTTAGTGAAACCATAGCGAGAAGTTCCTTCTGCTTTCGGCACCGCGACGATAGCTGAGTTACTGAGTTATCAGGCGGTTAAGTCCACTTAGGGAGTGATCATTGCGGTGCTTTATTCCTCAAAGAAGAAGCTGGTCAAGTGAACGACCAATTCAACTTGTGTTGCGACTTCTTAAATGTCAGCTTAGTTTTTTTTACGGACTTCTCCAGCAACATTCGCTCTCTGTTCTCCGGGAGCTGCAAAGCAGGTAGAATGTTTATGCAACAGCGCCACTTCTATGACTTCTGGGCACAGGTGGATTTATCTCGCGGCAGCAGTCCATACTGTTATCCTTTATAGGCAAATACATCCATCCGCATTATGGGCAGTGGCACATATTAGAAACGGATAATGCAGCATCAGAAGGACTTGAGAAACCTGCCAGTGTCAGGTACGATTTTCTTATCATACGCGAACTGACTACATGGTTTCAAGCTCATATTGAAGACACTGCATCCTTCAATATTTTGCAGCAGAACATTGCAGCAGAGGAGAGGGCAGCAGTATTAGAAGGAAAGGCAGCATCAATAATCAAAACAATGTTCAACAATAATCGCAATCTATATCGTCGGCGCTGCATCTTATATATAAAGCTGAATGTCTGTTTGTATGTATGTATGTATGTATGTATGTCTGTCTGTCTGTACGTATGTTCCGAATAGAAAATTCCACTTCTGAACCGATCCGGACCAAACTTGGCACACATACACTACGGGCCCCGGCGGGTGTCATAGGCTACTTTTCGTCATCGATCGATATCGATTTTATCGATTTTTATCGATTTTTTTGCTGAGTTCACCTACGGGGCTGGGAGTTGGCACGGGGGGGGGGGTAATCGAGCATGGGGATTCCGAATACAATATTGGTTTTCGGGATTATCGATTACTTTTATCGATTTTATCGATTTTTTGAAAATTTGAGCTAGGGGGCTGGGAGTTGGCACAGGGGGGTAATCGAGCATGCTGATAACTCCCAAGGGGGGTGATCAGCATGCTCGATTACACCCCTGTGCCAAATTCCAGCCCCCTAGCTCAAATTTTCAAAAAATCGATAAAATCGATAAAAGTAATGGACGATCTTGAAAACTAATATTGTGTTCGTAATCAGCATGCTCGATTACCCCCTGTGCAAAATCCCAGCCTCGCATGTCAGCCGCCGGGGCCCGAAGTGTATGTGTGCCAAGTTTGGTCCGGATACGGCGGAGCCGGGTAAGCCAGCTAGTTATCCATATACCACAAACGAGGTGGCATATATGTTTGTGAATGAAAACGATGATGTGCCAGTTACTAGTAAATTGCCTGTCCATCAAGGAGCCAGCATTCAAAGATATACTGAATTCGCCCGAAAGTTCGTTCACAACTTCTCAGAATTCATAACTTTTTCTTCTCATGGCCGATTTGCACATGTTTATTTCTATTTGTAAGAGGAGAACATGCTCTTTGAAAAATTTCCTGTAACTTTCAGTTGAGCATACATCGCATAGATAGAAGCGGTGGAAGAAGACAATCAATCACTCTAACTATCAAATAAACAGATTTTAGATTTAAATCTTCAGCTAAGGAAATCTGAAGCTCGCAATGAAAATCGGAATGTTGTATGGGTTTTATTAGCTGCTCTTTGATGATCAATATTTGCGCTGATTGAACGTCTGTATAGAAAGTTATAATTGAGCAAAACAGCAAACTTGATTTTTGACATTATTTTGAATCATAACTCTTCAGATGTTTAATCAGCACGAACTTTGCTGACTTAGAAAAAAACGGGTAATAAGACTCATAATCATAATCTACTGCTCCAATTTTTGATGCATTTAGATTTTTCGCGATAAAACACAGGAAAATCAAATTTTGAGTAATTTTTTTTCTACTTACTTGTACTCAATTAACAGCTAAGGCGCCTTTATGAAAAGCATAATTTCTTATTTCGAAAAGAAGTAGGTATGTGCAAAGCAGTCATAAAAGAAGATTGAATTCTTGAGTGCGAGCGAACTTTCGGGGCAGCTCAACAGACAGCAGCTGCCTATCAACATACCCGCTCTTTTTCCCCAGAGGAAGTCTAGAGTGGCATGTGGATCTGAAAATGTAAGTGATGACCGAACCCCACTTGATTCACTTGGAAAAAGTTCTACTTATGTCTTCTTTCGAACGCGCATAACTGAACTTTTTCTTTACGGCAGCAATCAGTAGTTTGCAGTTGACGCATATATGAAGTAAACAAAATAGACTTAGATAAACTAAAACTTTCAAATGGAGCTTAGCATCGACAGCTAGCAAGACTGTTGAATCACTTGGCCAGCATAAACGCGCAGGAATTTGCATGACAAGATCACTGCAAGCCAGTCGAATGTGGTCAGGACTAAAGAGCATCAAATCTTCCGGACATTATTGCGAAAGTCCTTTTCAAGAATTTGGCAATATTGGAGGATACTCTTTGGAAAAATATCCTGGGTTGCATAGTAGGGCACGTTGGAGTAGTTGAGTGGCGTGAAAGGGAGAAGTTTTCTTTATTCCGATTGCTTCCAGCCATGGCAGCCGAAGCAAAGCAGAAATGCTAATCACATAAATGCGGTATTCAGGCTCAATCACCTAGTGCAAAGTTGAAAGACAACTGTTTGACTTAGTCGAGTATACAAAGACAAACTCACATGGTGCACAGGTGTGGATCGACAAGCCCCATAGGTCCTTCAGTTGAGGACCTTCGAGAAGAGACCATCATTGATGAGACGGCTATTCCATATATGAGACAATGGACGCTCAATTAATATCGACGAAAATTCTAACAATAGGCACATGGTTCATTGCAACAGCTTCCTCCTCATACTTTTGAATGCATATATCAACTTTGAAAGAGGCGGATACGATATTCCTTGTGTTACCGTGAAGGATGTTTGTGCAGATATAGTACAAGAGAACGGAGAGCTTTATTGCGCCAATGGCAAAGTGGCCGAGTTGAAAGCTATGACGAAATCCGAGCACATTTGGCGCCCGTTATATGGTGCCCACCCAAGCATTGCACATTGCATATGTTCCAGTACTAGGTCCAGTACTTAGGCACCAGGTGCACCTTCGCAGCTTTTGAGAAACCACATTCCCAACAGGAAAAGAGGGATTCTGTATTAATGGGATCAAAGAAAGATACTACTCTTACTGCATGGTTAAAACTCAATTCGAAGTACGAACAATTGCTTTTAGAAAACTATATTCCTCAGAATATTCCACGTTAACTGTACCCATCAGCGTTCTTTCTGAAGATTTTGGAAAGCAAGAAGTGGGAAGAGGCGAACTGTACTGTATGTGGTCTCTGCGCAAACATGATGGTTTTTCTTTGAAATCGAAATTTCGAATTTTTACAAGTTCTTTATACATTAAAAATATGCAATTCTTTAAGCATTCGTACACTGGCGACGTCCAGTTACACCTGACATTTGAATTGGTGCACGTGCTGTTGTCTTCATGATGATGGTGCTACACTTATGCTCAGAAGAATCCTGTTTCCATTTCGTATTTATTTGCCTGCTGAGTTTGCTGTTTAACTTTTAACAAAGATTGACACTGCTCAAAGATCGAAGAAACCGGATGAAGTCTAGATTTGAGCACAAGCATTGATTGCATGAGAATCGGCTGCATCCAGATGATTACTGTTATAATAGTCTGCCAAGAAGTAAAGCCCTTCTTCTTTTCCAATTTCTTCCGACTACACAAAAACCTCTACCAACATAAAGATTAGTGCCAGCTCGTCAGCCCTTCAAGGTCCTTTTACGCCGTCAGCTCTAGTCGACCAACCCATCCAGCACATACGAGGACATTTGCCGACTTACAAGGACTGCACCACACAATGCAGCTCTTCCATTCCTCATGACCTCCAGTTAAAAAGGGGAGCACATATCCAAGCTGTTTACGGCGACCTTGCATGGTTAGTTCCCAGAGTCTTAACGAATACAGTTTTTTTTTTCAAGCAGTTTCAGTGAAACAGAGATTATGTTAAGCAGCTTAGCGAATTAGGGAAGAACTGTCGCGTTGCGAATAGCTCGGAGGAGGTCTGATTTTGGAAATCATGCGCTCTGTAGTTAGCATCTGGGACTTTTGCTGCACCGGGATACGACTAAGACGCGTATGCATGAACATCCCTGCGGCAAGCGGCGGCGTTTTTGGCTATGACAGGGTCGCGGCGAGAGACTTTGGGCTTTTTCATTATTAAAGACGCCATTGCTCTTGTTCATGCATGTGGGCTTTGAAGGCAGCCAGGCAAATCTGGACCTAGGGGGTTCTCACGTGGAAAATAATCTTGACGGCCTAAATAAGGTTCTGCCCAAGCGGCAGTTTAGTGCATTCACGGCTAAGATGTTGGGTTCCAGATTATGCCCCGTAATCGTATTTGCATGGATTCATGGCTCGGCACGTCAGTTTCCCGTGGACCCTCGCGCGAAAGCGCCACGATTCCATGCGAATACGGTCATGGGGCATAGTTTGGAGTCCAATATCTTAGCCGTGAGTGTACTATCTGAGCCGCCGCTTGGGCAGAGTCTTAATTAGGGCCTCAAGATTACTTTCCACGTGAAAACCCCATAGATCCAGATTTGCCTGGACGCTACCTTTAACGGATCAACGAGCAAGAAAAAGCATCAGTAGGCTTTTTTTGAGAAAGCCACCTACGGCTGACGGATCTAGAGCTTTGCAACCACCTGTTAGAATCTTTGGAGAACATAAATATGCTCATGATAGGGTTAAGAAACTTTGCAAGTGATCGCAACGCTTTCCTGCGCTTTCCGATTGCTTCAGTCCCAGATTTTTTTTGAAAATTGCACAAAGACGGAGATTTTGCTTACCCGCGTCAGACCGATTTAGATGAGAACCAAGAGATTGGACCGAGCTCCTGAAGAGTTTATATTATTAAAAGGCTTGTCAAAGTAAAACACAAACCTGGAAATCTGTTCAATGCTCGGACTTACAAAGCCTGTCACCAGAGAAGCTAATGCGAAGAGCAAAAAATTCATTGGACGCGTTCTGAATACTCACTTGTACTACTTACTATAGCTTTCACAAGTAAGTACTAATTGAAATTCGAAAGTACCTCATCGAAGATAATGATGTGAAAGTAAATTCATGATTTTAACCTGTCATTTGATGAGGAAAAGATTCAATAGTACTTATCCTTTATTTGAACCTATTTTTTCTAAGAGTGCTCATGAGAAGCTTTAGTTTAGAGAATCTTTTGAAAATCTTACAAGGACTATTCTCCTGCCACCTATAAAGGAGAAAATTAATGTGTTGTTAATTTAACGTGTTTTTTTAAATCGCTTTCGGTAAGGAATGGACATTTGTGACAACTCAAAAACTGTTTGGCTGTTTTTCATGGACAAAGCAACCCAAAACGCTCTCTAAAATATAAAATCCCTTCAAAACAGTTCAAAATCATCTTTCTTCTCAACTCTTTCAATCTTATTTGTCATGCGAAATCAACAATGAAGAAGTGCAAATGATAGGTCAAACTAACTTGTTGCCGCTTCCTTCAAAGCTCAGATATTGGAAAAATAGCACACTTTTCTGTTCTGGGCAAGTCCTATGTGTTTATTAAAGGCGCGATGGCAGGCTTCGGATGTTGTGTTCACTTTCGAGATTGTTTAAGGCAGCATTTACCGGAAATTTCGTCTTTCATGTTTTTATTGTTATTGGGCCTTCCCATGGTGCAGATTTTTAAAATGAGATTCAAATTACCAAAAAGCTCCAAAATTCGCTTTCTCAAAGCCCTATTTCGACAGACGTGGACGAGGTCCAGGCGCTTATCACGTCCACGTCGTATGCGACAGAAAACCTTGTCGTGTGCAAACATACCACTTCGCAAAGTATAGTCTGCCCCAATCCTAACCAGGCCAAAATCGGCATGGCGGGAGTCCGCGCCGCGAGGGTTTCCCGCCACATCTGCCGCTAACTAGTCTGCTCTCTCCTCGATCTCTTCACTCTCTGCGACAGCGCGCGTATGCAGCGCAATCCCCCAGCGCTGCGAGCGCGCAAATTCAGCCGACGGTTCGGCCTGATCCCGATTGGGGCAGACTGTATGCGTCGCAACGTTGCTTGTCATGTGACCGTGACGTCACAAGCAGACAAACGGGACCCCTCTTCGGGACGCGCAAATCTCTGCTTCGTAGGTGCGCCGGATTTGGGAGAGCCCCGGAGCATCAAAATGGGTAAAATGGCAGGGCTCCGGAGCGCTCCAGAGCGCGAAGTGGCAGACTCGCGCAATTTGCCCGCCGCAGGTATCCCTTCGACTGTCTGAGAAAGGAGTGGACCAGCGCGATGCCCTTCTTTTAGGTCCTGCAAGTGGAATAAGTATTTGAAGTGAAAAGATTTTGAATGGACGCTCCCTTTAAGCAGGCAACACAAATTATTCAACTTGTCAAACGTGTGGTTCAAAATTTTTGACGCAGGACAGGAGCTTGACACTTTCTTTTTGAAGTAGGGGCCAATTATAGTGTAAAAAAGAAGGGAGCGGTTTTAGATCGGAAAAGTACCAAGCTAATTTTTGACACAGTCAAAACGATGCCATAAGTATTATCCATGTGTCAAACCTCGATGCCATGGAAGCTACTTTTGAGCTATTGCAAGAACACCAATCTTCACTTAACTTGCACGGTGTTTCTATCAGAGGAATTATGACCCTTCTGAACGAATGCCTTCAATGCTCAATATTTCGGTGGTCCGGGCACTATTATAAGCAAATTAGAGGCCTTGCCATGGGACAACGTTTAGCCCCAACGCTAGCTATCGTATTTATGTCGGAAGTGGAAGCGCCAGTTTTTGAAAGAAGACCTTTGCTTTACTGTCGTTATGTAGACGACTGTTTCATTGTATGTCCAACTCAGGCCAAACTCGACCTTTGTTACGAGATTTTGAATCAGCAATTCCCGCATATCAAGTTGACTCGAGGCAAACCCACGAACAATTGGCTAGCGTTTTTAAACGTTGAGATTCGATTGATGGATGGCGAATTCAAAACAAGATGGTATCGTAAACCAAGTAGCAGGAATATACTAGTGCACTATGTTTCAGCGCATCCGGCCCACATCAAAAAGTCGTTAATTGGCAACATGTATAGAACAGCTGCAAACGTCTCGTCCGGAACCACAGAAAAAGTCTATCCGCTAGCATTGGCAGAAACGGTAGCAAGATCAAATGGGTATCCTACCAAAAAGCGCAACCATGGATTACGCAAGCGCAATGACAATACCAGAACTGCAGCAACCGAAACAAAAATTCCATCCTGCTTACCATTTGTGTCAGAAGAACTAAGTATAACAGTCAGAAAGTTGATAGACCGAGCAGAATTACAGGGCTGGGTACGAGTCGTTGACATACCACCTGTCAATCTCAAACATCAACTTGTTCGCAATCGAGCCTATGACAGACTATGTACGACTCCCATTTGCGTTATTTGCCCATTCGGAAAGCAAGGTGACTGTATGGTTTCTGGTGGAGTGTACCATATTACCTGTTAGTCATGCAGAGAATCATATATAGGTGAAACTGGGCGCCCATTATGCACGCGTATCAAAGAACACTTAGACGGGCTTAGAAGATCGAATCCTACTACGCCATTGGGCATGCACCGCCGACAGCGCCACAATGATGCAGAAATGAACATGGAGGTTACAATCTTAGCTTACGAACCCGAGATCCTCACACGCAAAACTTTAGAGGCGTTTTGGATCGCGACTGAAAGTCCTAAAATGGATAGAAAAGATGAGTGCTTAGCGATCACTCAAGAACTGGCCCCGTATCAGACGCTATGTGGCTTCTGCGATAACAGTAGGCCGAGACCGGATCACTAGATCTGTAAATGAAAGCGTTGGTCAGTTTTTGGCATAATAAACACTCGATCATTGTTGACGGTTAGATAGCATTGGCCTGCACTTGTTATTTAATTTCTTTTGGTTTACTGACAGGTCAGGCTTGTTTCTCGGTCATGATGCGGTGGCTGACGGAATGTTCTCTAAGCACTCGACTTTTTCAGACCCCGAAGAAGGCGAAATCGCCGAAACGTTGGTCTTAGTAAAAAGTTTTACCAATCTTGGGTTAATAGCTAAAAGAAGAAGATCAGAGATGTCATAAGTCTATTTTCTATATTAAAACCTCAATTTGAGCTGTCTTTTTCGAGCGTGCCTGCGAAATACTTGTACCAAACCTTGAAATACGAAATGTGCCGATGTGTTGCCAAGCAACTTTTGCGGAGACGTTCAAACTTATCAACGCATATTTAGAGCTTTAAACCACTCAAATTTGTCAATCTACATCTCATCACCTCTATTATAAACTGCTGTCTGAACATCTCAATAATGCAATGAGACAATTATGAGGATATCTGAGAAGAGATGCAATAGGACGATGCAAAATCGCAGAGCTGTGCTACGTATGACATTGAAACAGTCTTCAACAAGAATTCCAAAGAACGATTGTAATCACGCGTTAAGTATTCCTTTATATAGCCAACCGTCTCTTGGTACACCACAGCACCTAAAAACTCCCAAAGATAGTGGATACTTGCCGTTATAGCTCCGCCCTTTTGTAATTCCACAGTAGCTCAAATGAGGTGAATGAAAAAAATGCAATCGAAAACAAACAAGCTGGATAGACGTGATCATGGGCTAGTTTCAAACGGAATCAAGGATGCTGAATCAATTTCGTTGCGGCACATTGGATGAGAGATACCTAATTTATAAAAATTTTTTGCAATTCATAGATACCACACACCTAGTCTTAAGCTGCAGGTGAACAACCTTGATGATTCCACAACTCCACGGCCAAATCGAAATCTTTTCTTTCGCTTTGGCCATTCAAAGAAGGGACTTTAAACGCACTGCGCAAGCTCTTCACCTTTCTTGAACTTGACAGGGTAAATTGGCAGTCACATAATGTTAAATACTCTATGTCAAGGCTCAAGAACTGTGCAAGCCTCTTCGGCTTTTCTTACCTTAAAATTACTGTACATCTGCATACATGCATTTTTCAGTCTGCGTACATGGTTACAGCAAAAATACAGACATGAACTCCATTTATTGCGTCTGTCTCAGAACGAGTGACAGATAGAGCCTCCTTTGACCGCGAGACTTGATAGAAAAGCATCACACTTCCTTCCACCCTCCTCCAGCCGGAGCGGTAGACTTCTATAAGTCACAAAAAGCTCACAGGACAGATTGTATGAGCGAAGTTTCAAGTTCTTAACCCACACTTTGATGATTTTCGCAAACATAGAGCAGATTGTGCTTGTTAGTCATCATTTTTGGAAGCAAGCACATTTTAAAAAGCTGGCTCGCTCGTAATTTGTAGGTTTTCCTTGTTTCTTGTTCTACTTACAAAGACATGATTGTAGAAAGAATTTTGAAATGAATTGATAACATTATTTGAACCTCATTTTATATCATTGTTTAGAATAGAATATCATGCGACATTACGCGTTATGAGAGTTGCTAGCAGATACAGCTAAAGTTCGTATTTCAATATTTTTTTTGTTCCAATAAAGATTGAAGGGGAATTTTTATGAATAGGGGAATTTTACTCGGTGCAAATTGAATAAATGCCGTTGCTTTAGTGACACGATACAGAACAATCTGGAAAGAGCTGCCTTACATTAAACCTTACCATGCAGCTTGGACATACAAAGATTAATTTGAAACAATTTCAAAGTATGTGTCAGTAGTTGATTGTTGTGCCGAAACCAGGTTTTTTAGTGGTTGCTTATTCGATCAAGGTTTCAACGTGCTCATTGTCTTCAAAAGGTCTAAACGTAGATTATAGGTTTCTAGTCCGGCCAGTACGCCACCAAGAGCCTCTTCCACAAGTGCTAGTCTGGACCTTATCGGAGTACCGCAGCGCTAAACTATCAAAGTTATGAAACTAGCCAATTTCAACTCCACCGCAACCAGAATTCCGCACAATGGGACAATAGCGGACGTCACTGAGTGTCACCAGTGAGTCAAGGGTGTTGTCAATTCCAAAGTATTTTTTAGGGGGTTTGG